AAAATTCATTGAAACCCACACAAAACTGCTTCAAGGATACATACAATGTGGCTACTTGAAGGAAACCAATGTTGAATGGTATCTCTCCAGTGAGATGATTGTATGACAGGTCCCTGCCATTCAATATGAAAGAAAGTTTAGCTACTTATATACACAGAGTGGTGCACTTGGTGTTGAATGAGAAGGATATATAATACATACAAGACCTGGAAGGCTGTGCAGTTGCCTATGGTTTGAGGTATGCAGCCTGTTAAACTGTTGTTTCTAACATCACTTCAAATGGAAAGAGTTTTATTAGCCTGAGAATATGTTCATATAGTCTCTTGGTGGAAGTAAGGATTACTTACAAATACCATAAGCCAGTGAGCTGACAGATATCTGGAGACAGTGTGCCCACCAAATTGTTGCCACGCAATCCCCTGAGAAAGAGTTGAAGGTCAAATGAAGCGTTTAGAATTCGAACCAACAAAAGCTAGCGGTTATTTGTGACAGCTCAAGCCCACCGCTACTACATATCAGAGTCGGTCTCATGATTTTAAAACGCGTCTGCTAGGGAGAGGTTTCATATCCTTATAAGGAATGTTACGTTTCTCTCTCTAACTGATGTGGGATCTCACAATCCACTCCCATTGGAGGCCCAGCGTCCTCGCTAGCACACTGTTCGGTGTCTGGCTCTGATACCATTTATAATAGTTCAAGCCCCCCGCGATCCGGTATTGTCCGCTTTGACCCATTACGTATCACCATTAGCCTCATAGTTGTAAAACACGTCTACTAGAGAGAAGTTTCCACACCCTTATAAGGAATGCTTTGTTCCCCTCTCCAACCATGTGGGATCTCACAATCCACCCCCCTTGGAGGCTCAGCGTCCTCGCTGGCACACCGCTCGATGCTTGGCTATCAGATATTGTCCGCTTTGGCTCGTTACGTATCGTCGTCAACCTCACGGTTTTAAAACGCGTCTGTTAGAGAGAGGTTTCCACACCCTTATAAGGAATACTTCGTTCCTTTCTCCAACCAAGTGGGATCTCACAATCCACCCCCCTTGAAGGCCCAGCGACCTTGCTGGCACACCGATTGGTGCCTGGCTTTGATATCATTTATAACAACCGAAGCCCACCGCTATCAGATATTGTCCACTTTTGCTCATTACGTATCACATCAGCCTCGCAGTTCTGCTAGAGAGAGGTTTCCACACCCTTATAAGAAATGTTTCGTTTCCCTCTCTCACCCACGCGTATAAGAAAGAATTAGGAGTTAAAAAAGACTCACATATATTGCAGCACTTCATTCCAGTAAATGAGTCTTGGTATTTCACCACTAAGATTATTCTGTGCCAGATCTCTAGAACAACCAAGGATGAAAAATGGGCATCTTTCAGTAATTTCTCAAAGTAAAAACTTTGAAGGCAGTGAAAAAAGTATGGCATGAGAACTTACAAGACCTTCAAGTTTGGAATCTGAGACAAGGTTGAAGGGATTGGTCCAATCAGTCTATTATTTTTCACAACTCTGAAACATCAAACACATAATAAGATGAAGCATCACACAGTTACAAAAAAGTTACATACTTATGTTTGAACTTACAGCATTTCCAGTTGCTTCAACTTCGAAATGGAAAATGGTATGTCTCCATAAATCTCATTAAACGATAAATCCCTACAAAGTTTCATATAACCGTTTAAGCCCACCGCTAACAGACATTGCCTCTTTGGACTTTCCCTTTCGGCCTTTCCCTCAAGGTTTTTAAAACGCGTATGTAGTGAGAGGTTTCCACACCCTTATAAAGAATGTTTCATTCTTCTCTCCAACTGACGTGGGATCCCCTAATCTACCCCCTTCGAGGCCCAGTATCTTTGCTGGCACACCGTCTCGGGTCTTAGCCTCCTCGTTGGCACATCGCCCGGTGTTTGACTCGTCCTCTATGGGTTTCCCCTCAAGGTTTTTAAAACGAGTCTACTAGGGTGAGGTTTTCACACCCTTACAAAGAATGTTTCGTTCTCCTCTTCAATCGAAGTGGGTTGAAGATATCGAACATTTGTAAGCACGAAAGGACTTACAGATTAATTAACGAAGAACAGTCACCAATCTCATCAGGAATTTGACCGGAAAGCCTATTCCCTCTCAAATCCCTGTTCAAGGAATCCCATTATTAGAAGAAGGCTTAGAAAGTAAGAACATGAATAAAGAAGAGAGGAGTACAAAGTTTGCAGGCCCTTGAGCTTCCCGACCGAAGGAGAAATTTCTCCGACCAGGTTGAGACCAGAAAGATTACTGGAACAACAAAAAAAACAATGGGAAAAAGCAGATGAACAAGGTAGAACAATCTTTAAACTGGATTTTGAAACCAACCCAGAAAGCTAATAGGGAAATTGTTTGGCTTACAGAGTGATGGCATTGAGAGTGGCATTGTCACAGGTGACACCTCTCCATATACAGTAATCTGAAGAAGGTGAGCTTGTCCAATCATATAGAACATTATCCACATCCCTCAATGATTTCTTCATCTCCAACAACGTAGCTCCTTCAACATAGGAAAACATGTCACCAAACATTAAAAAAAAACATTTCTGAAGTGTTCTTGGAGACATTTTAAAGTTTTTTAATGGTGACTTACCATCATCGGAATCCACAACACCGGCGCTAACACAGAAGAGAAAAACCAGAATAAGAAGCTGAATAGGAAATGCCATGGCGACCGCCCTCTTCATAGACATGAATTACACTTCCATTGCCAGTTACAAGAAGCTTAAAAAAACAGAGAACCCTGTTCTTATCTCTTTCTCAAGAACGTTAAAAGGCTAAAAAAGAAGCAATTGGGAGAGACATTGTTGAGTCTAAGAGGAAACGATAATGAATTATTTCACAGAAAAAGATAAGAACCCATCTGCCACAACTCTATTACAAAACCTGCAACGACACAGACCCTTTACTCCATTTCTCTCTCTCTCTCTCTCTCACTTGCAAATGGGGCACTGTGGGTAATGGAAGGAACCCATTTGGGTTCAGCTGACAAGGACCCTCTTCTTTGAAGACTCGCCTCGTGCACGTTTTGCTGCAGAATTGAGCCTTGAATTCAATGAACTTTGTTATTCCAGTGTTCATGTCATGTGGTTTAATGCCCAAAACGTACAGTCTTTTAAGATAATTATAGGGGAAATCTTGTTTTTTTGTTGATTTTGTTTTCAAGTTTATTCCCTTAATAGAATCTGCTTTTTGGTAAGTTGAGTGCTAATTGAAATCAGTGCCTAAATGATGTAAATTTAAAATAAAAATACAAACTTTAGGTTTCTATGTTCATGAACGTGTATTGGATAAAAACAAAACATGTTCCTCTAAAGTCCCACAAACAATGATCTGTCACGTTTGAAACTACTGTGAACTCCCGCGTTGTCGTGTATTACTCCTTTCACATTTAATATGAGATTCCACATCGGTCGGAGAAAAAAGCGAAACATTGCTTGTAACCATGTGGAAATCTCTTTCTAATAGATGCGTTTTAAAACTGTGAAGCTGACGACGATATGTAACGAGCTAAAGTGAATAATATCTATTAGCAAGGTGCCTGAACAATTACATCTACACACTCTTATCAATCTTTTGTTTTGACGTTCTTACGATGTATCACACGTATCACAATGATTTTGAAGTTCATACACATTAAATTATTAAAGATTTAGAAGGTTTTTATTTTTACATATTTCTATATATTTCAAATAATATTTTATGTGATGAGGTCAAAATCAATATATATTTAAGTATATTAAATTAACTATTTAAATTTTATAAGTCCAAAATATGTATATATTTATTTATATTTGACTTTATATATTAAAAAATAAAGCTGTTTGGGGAATTCAAGTAAATATAAGAGAGAAATGGGGGTAAAAGGGGAATTTGGGATAAGGACAGTCGGAGGATCTGCCAGAATCTGGGCCCACGGCCCATCTGGCCCTGATTGATTAACTCAGCATCATAAAGAGAGAAAAAGTAGCCCATTTTAGGTTAAAATTAACAACGTTGTCTTTAAATTTAAATATTTCCAAATTGTTTTTTTTAATTAAAAAAAGTTATTTTTCAAAAATTATATATATATATATATATATATATATATCCAAATCAAACCCATATGTGGTTTAAAGCTTTAAATTTGAGTGTTTATTTTGTATTATTATTATTATTATTATTATTTTTGTAAAAATGGAGACTTAATAAATTTTTTATTAGATAATTTTCCTTTTATAATATAATTTTTATGAAAATAGTAATAATATAATATTGAACCTAATTTTATTATAAAACACACAAATTATACAAATATTTATATTTAATTTAAAAGTAGTTTTGCTGTTATTTAGGGGCGGTGACGTATTTGGATGAGAGCGGGGTTGCGTTTAATTGGGTGTAATGACATGTCTCTTAGGTCATGGAGTGTTTCCTTTTTAGGGTAACAGGCGGGTCATCTTATTATAATAACTACTAATTAAGTTTAAATAATAGTAATAATAAAACGAACCATCCAGCTAGCTTCTACGCTTTCAAATTTTTCAGACAGACAACCCATTTTTCAACCAAATTCTTGAAGCCGCCATTTGGTAAACTTTAATTTTGAAACCCAAATAAAAAATATGTTTATCGAAGGTTTTGCTTACGGAATTGAGTGTGTGAGATCCCACATCGGTTCAAGAGAAGAACGAAACATTTTTTTTATAAGAATGTGAAAACATTATCTTGGTAAATGCATTTTAAAAACCTTGAGGGGAAGCCCGAGGGAGATAGCCTAAAGAGGACAATATCAGCTAATACACAGAGGCATGCAAATATTTGTATCTCCAATGTAAATATTTGTATCTCCAATGTATTTGATAATTTTTAGGTTGAATTATGTGTTTAGTAAATAAAAGTTTATATTTAAAGCTCGCATAACGGAAATTTAGAGATGTATTAGACAATTTTTAAAGTAACTCAAAGGATAGAGGATATATTAAGGAAACACATTACAAAAAGGATAGAGGATATATTAAGGAAACACATTGAAGGGACAACTTTTTCCACGCTATTAAATGATTTTGATGGTATCAATGGCAGTCACGGCTGCGTCCAGGACCGCCATAGAAGAAAACAGGTTCAGTTGGGATTGTACTTCGATAATTATCAACAGAGTAGCAAGAATACTCATCAACCCAAGTTCCAACTCTCACCGGATACTTCAACTGTAGCGAATAGTCCACGATCCTTGGCTGCCTCACGAAGCTAGCGTACTTGTAATGCTCCCCTGCATAGTCTCCGCTCCCCATGCCCGTCCCCGTGTGTGGCACTTTCTTTATGTTTGAGCTAAACACCTCCCCGCCCCATTCCACCAGTGTCGCGCTGTTGCGCAAGTATCCAAATAGCGTCGGCGGCCAATACCCCACTGGTTGCCCTTGCATTTTCAGCCACCAGTTGCTTGACTGAGGATCCTGCATCAATTAATATTAACACGCATCCATATATATACCTACTATGATTAAATAATCATGGAGAAGGAGTAGGTTGCATGTAAAATTAGTTACCTGAAAGATACCGACCGTGATAATGAACTGTTGTCCACCTCTGGTCGACAATGGGTCAATAACTGCACCAAGCACCACTTTCGGGTTCGTTTGGACAAACCCACTGCAAGTCAAGTCAAAGCACCCTTACTGCACCAAGCACCACTTTCGGGTTCGTTTGGACAAACCCACTGCAAGTCAAGTCAAAGCACCCTTTCGATTGGTAGGAGTCCACCTAACCACGTTTGGACAAACCCACTGCAAGTCAAGTCAAAGCACCCTTTCGATTGGTAGGAGTCCACCTAACCATTTTTCCATGTTAGATACAAATTATACTCAAATTTCTCTCACCGCTCTGATAAATGAAAACCCTCGATCTTACTGTCCAATGTACACTAAGACGAGTTTTCGTATCTCCATACAACCTTGGATTAACCTATAACAACAAGAACAAATTAAAACTCATCAAGTCCTTAAAATTGTTTTCCCAAAAAAGACAAAAAATGTACCATCCAGCCGGCTTCTACGCTTTCAAATCTTTCCGAAGGCCCATTTTTCAACCAAATTCTTGAAGCTGTGAAATCACTCGGCAAATCAACTTTAGGGTTCCAAACATTAAGCTGTCCTGAAGCGCCAATGTAATTGAAGCCGGCCGTATACAGGATCGCCGTCTGGTCATATTCAACACCAAATTATAACACAATTAGCTCAACTAAAATTTAATTTTGAAACCCAAAACAAAAATATGTTTATGGAAGGTTTTGCTTACCGAACGATTGACTTCTTTCCCGAGTTTGGAGCTTTCATAAGGAAATTTCTTTCCAAAGCTATCAAGAGAATTGGCTCTTAATAAGTCTTGTTCACGAACTCTGCGAATTGGAATGGTTCCATTGGGACAACTCCCACTTCTTTGCCATACCTGAAAGGCCTCGTTATGCTCGGTCGACATCCTCCAATCGACGCCCCAATCGGGTTCCATCTATATGAAGCATTGGTTAAGAGCGTAAAGAATATGATTAGGCATACACATAATGATTTGATTAACACGAAGAAATGAACCAGAATGGTGTGGTTCTTTAGAGCGGGATGGTCAAAAGCAGGCTGCTTGTAAATGTCAACACAATCGATGATATCTCCATCTTTAGTCTGCATAATTCCCATGCAAAATTATACGTGAAAAAAAAAACATTAAAAAACGCAGTGAAAAGAAAGATGTTACGTAGATGGTGTGGAGGGCAGGCTTATTGAGAAGCTTTAATTTGTTGTGAATCTGCGCAGATAATTGTTGAGAATTATTGATGTCTGGAATGGCGGCATGAGATTGGAGAATGGCGGCATGAGATTGGAGAATGGCAGCAGCAATGGCGAAAGCCACCATTGCCAAGAGCTTCCCTTCATGATATGTGTTCCTCATTTTCTCCGAAGGAACCCAATACAAAAGTTGATTTTTAGTTGTTTTCTTGGGTTGAGGATGACAATGGAGAATTCTAATATTTATACCACTTTTTGTTCTTCCGTTAAATAAGGTAAATTTGGTTTTGGAATGGCAGGAGAGGAAATGGCACCACGAATTTTTAACCGCCTTGTTTACTGTTGTAACAATTTTTTACTTGGGCAGGACAACAAGTCGATGAGATAGACATATTGGGCCCAACTATTGGCCCGACATATTGGGCCTTGGACTTCAAATGTGTTTGCTTTACTGGGCTTGGGCTAAACCAGATAGACATATTGGGCCCAACTATTGGGCCGACTTATTGGCGGTTGGGAAGAAAGCAACAACGTTGTTTTTATTGGTCTCGTTGTCAGTATGCATAATTACGACTTTGGATTTTTTTTTTTTTTTTTTTTTTTTTT